GATTATAGGTGGTTAAACTTCATTTTTACCATAGATTTCATCAAACTCACAACTTTATCCACTTTTCAACCATGCATTTTATGGGACCCATCAGCTTATAATCTCAAAAAGCTTTATCAAACGGGGGCTAAAGAAGTGGTCGCGTAATGTGTCTTAAAGTTTGGAATCCCCGGTTCCCAAGCAGACATTGCCGAACCTTCTTACTTTTAGTCGCTCATTAGATCTGAGATCTTTATTTGCCATCTATTTTGGCTGAAACTATTAAGAGTTATTGTGGTTTATCACTTTATCTTTACCTATTTCAGCTGCATGGTGTGGATGACAACGTAAGCAGGAGCAAGAGAATTATAACTTCCATGTCAAGGAGGATGAACAGAAACAAGTGGATTATTGGTGCTGTAATTACAGTTCTAGTCATTGCTATTATTGTGATTTTGTATTTTAAACTTTCGAAGTAACCAGGTCTGTTTTGAGATGTAGTGAAGTACAAGAGCTTGTTATTTACTCATCTCCATATCTTACTTTCTGTGAGTTTAAAAGACGTTGTTCTGTACGATGTACATGAGCTGTAGGTTTGAAACATATTTGTGATCTTAATGGTCGAATATTAAATGTAATTTGGGATTACCTTGTAAAATCTTGGACATGGGGTTTTTGAATATGGGGGGTTTTCACTTCAAAAAGCGGTTTGAATAAAAACTGGGAACGAGCCCAGTATAGGGCTTGAAGCTCTCTCTTCTTGCTCATTCCCGACTAATGGAAACATTCACTAGTCCGGTATTATAGCTTTTTTGAACCAACTTCAATTTCAACTCTCATCAAATCCAGATATCAATCCACTGAGTTCGATGATCTCTTCTAGAGCTAAAGCAGAGTTAAGAAGGGATTGGTCGAAGCTCTTGCTCGTACAAGTTGAATCTCGAAAAAGTACGTAATCATTTACTATTGTATCATGGTTTCATGTCCTTGAAACTGTAGGACGTGTGGTTAGCATTTCCAATTGTATGCAGTCTAAGTTCAAATGATTATATTTAAATTTTACATACACGAGTGTCAAGAACATGCCAATGCATTTTGGTGGTTGCATCATGTCTAAATTGTACAGTTGAATCTTGAATTCACCAAACAAGAAAGAAATTGAAATTAGTTTTATTTGAATTATCTATTACGTCTTCTGTCTATATTAGACCCCTTGTTTGGTTGGAAGGATGAAAAATAAGAGTCTACGAACTTTTTGTGGTTATGACTTAAATTGGAGAATATGGATGATACACAAAAGATTGAATTCATTCCCTCTATTATAATTTATAAGCATAGTTACTGGATGTTGTGGAGGTATCACTTCTTTAATAATTCAATATTTAAAATTTGTGAGGGGAACTATCTGCAAGGGGATGTAGCTCAAATGGTAGAGCTCTCGCTTTGCATGCGACAGGCACGGGGTTCGATCCCCTGCATCTCCATATAATTTATTTTCATTTTGTAGTTTTCCAACTTAATTTTGCTGAGTTTTAAGTATGATATTAGTATATCAGTCGTGACGAAAACTCAAATTTGCCAAGCATAAATTATGAACGTCTTGACTTTTGAAATTACATTCAGAAAAGAGGAAAAAGAGTGATATCAACAATTCTCAGTCTACATTAACGCGATTATCCTGTAATGCGCAAACATCCTCTACATTTTACACTCAAAATCCTGAAAAACTGCACTCAAGGGGAAAACTAAGTACAATAAAAAAATGTAAAAATGGTGTTTGCCGAGCCTCAACTAATAAACCAGCATTCCTAAGGCCTCAAATAGGTTTCTTCAATTTTCAGGCTTCCCATTTTGACCAAATAATCTACCAACCTCCCAGTTGTCTGAATTTTTTATCATATCAAATTCGATCTTATGTTAAAGCCTTTGGTCTTTCCCTCTTGAATTCGCTATAGTCGGAAATCAAGCTGCCATTGACCTTATTCTTCATGTTCTCCACCAATCTCCTTAGGATCTATACACAAAAGCATACTAATAAGTTATTGGGGTGGCAAGGTGTGGAGTGCACTAATAAATAAATGGGGCAGATGAAATAACTGATTCTGAGACATCTCGTCGAACATTTTCAGGGACTAAAGCAAGCAAAGGAGGTAGAACAAAGCTTATGCTCATCTGTAGTTGACCTTTGAGCCTACTTCGTGGTCCACTTCTGTCAGGATATAGGGCCCCTTTTACACCAAGGGAAAACTGAGACGGCTTAAGCATGTCGTCTAGCCCCTGCAGTTCCCATCTAATCTGCACAATAACAGCTCGTGGTTGCTATCTTAGAGTGTGTTTGATTGACATGGAAAATATCACCTAGAAAAGAAAATATTTTCCATCTTTTGTGAAAAATAAAAACCACCTTTACCCAAGAAAAATGTTTTTTTTAAAAACAAGGAAAATTAGGCATATTTTCAAAAGTTGGAAAATGTTTTCCATAAAAAAAAATAGCAATCAAACACTTCAAGTAGAAATTTGGGTGGAAAACTGATATTTTCTATGGAAAATAAATGTAATAAAAAACACCCTTAAAGATTATACGCACAAAACTTCCAGTAAACAAAAAATATAAAGAGATTCATTTGCCACATGCTTACAATGTCAAGCTCAAGAACCTTTGAGATATGGCAGGGTACCCCAGGTGGGTATCCTGTCCCATTTGATTTACATCTCAACCTCATGTCAATTACGGGGTGCACGGTGAGGAATAGAAACTCTATAGGTAGCATATGTACTCTCCACTCTTCCTGCAGAGAATTGATCGGCAAGCATCATGTAAAAGGCTAAAAGAACGTGCGCATTTGTTTGTTACCCATAAATAAGAATAGAGACACAGAAAGATGCACACTAATAAACTAATTAGAAATCCTCCAACTCAGTCAACTTGTGAGAAAATCGAAAGCATGCAAATGTAGACACTATATTACTTCACTGCACTCACTTGGAATTGGAGGTACAATTAAATGTACTTTGTCTGAATGTGTGTGTCTACTCCAACTTGATGTGAAATAACTTATGTTTTCTTGGTCGCATTCTCCTCACTTTGCGGTCTTGGATTGTCAAATGGCTTCGGTCTATTTGTTAATGCTTTCACGAAGTGGTCTTGTAACAAACTTGGATCATCAAAACTTCTGGTCATTTATATGTTATACTCTCACGGTGTTATCTTGAATTATTACCTTGCTGAGATTATCTTCTCTCTGTCAATTCCATCACCTTTTATGCCCTTCCCTGTATTTCACCTTAGGTTTTCTATGTTGTTTCGTCTTAGTTTGCTATTATCTCTTCATGAATAGTAGAGGGACTGGTCTTAATGTCCAATAGCAGTAACCTCTCATGTTCTCTCCATTGCAATCTTCTTGATTTTTCTCACCTAATATTGTACTACGTAATAACGAAGTCAAGAACATGAGTTCTTTTCATCAGGGCCTTCCCAAATTCGATTCCACTCTTTTAATATACACACTACTATGTTGTAATGCTACAACCTTTAATAATAATAATAATAATAATAATAATAATAATAATAATAATAATAAGAAAACTCGAAATGTAAATGATGCATGAATTACAATTGAGTTGATGAATAATCTTTTCAGAAATTGATGAATGCTGGGGAATTAATTCACTGAAGAATGTGCATAACGATAAATTCCAAAATGCCCAACACCCACGACTACAAAATCAAGATCTTTTGCAGTATTCTGATGAATACAGATGAAATTAGTATAATAGTACCTCATTAAGTTGTTGGCTCCTTCGTTTATCAGGAAAAATGGCTTTAAATACTCTAGGCTTATCCTCTAAATACTGATCAAATGAAGCCTGCAAACCCAAATTCAAAGTAACTAAACCCCATAACTTTTAAATAATGCATAATTAAAGAGAAGCTCTAGAAGAAGTTTGTATATTATTACCCCAGGCTTTTCATAAAGAGGAATATCAGTGGAAATTCTGGAAATGTAAGTAGAAGAATTCGTCATTTGGGTTTTCACTAGCATCGACCGTGGTCTGAGTATCTTGCATTGCCATTTTGGACTTTGCTTAGTCAGCCTCCCTTTGAAATGCGAGCCGCCGCCCAACACCATTTGGCACCACGGAAACACCGCAATTTCGGCCATATTGAAGCAAAATTAAAGGGGAAAGGGAAAGGGAAAGGGTAAGTGAAGAGATGAGGAGAAGATGAAGATGAAGACAACCATATCTCTATCCACCAGATAAAGCAAATCTTGATTTTCGTTTTCCTTGTGATGGACCTGAGAGGTACATGTCAAGTATTGTTCCTTTTTCTTCCTTACGTGGCGCTTCCCAGTGGCTAAAGACGTCTCTTGCAATCTTGTGAATTATTTGGCGATAAAACTTTTCAGTCACTTTCTAAAAGCTGAGGACTAATTTGCTATAAAAGTAATAAGGGTCCGATTGATTTTAAAGAGAAAATTTAGATGGAAAGAAAATAAATTTCATGGATTTAAATTATCTAGAATTGTTTTTTTGGGAATTATAAATTATTGTGTTTGATTGATATAATTTTTCACGTGAAAAATATTGAAATAAAAGTGTTTTTTGGTGTTCGTTAGGCTTTGTTTCATATGAAAATTGTTAATTAAAGAGATAATTTACTGATATTGGAGATGAAATTTGTTTTCATTGTCAAAAAAAATTCAAGAAAATAATTTATCTTTTAGTGTTCGTTTGACTTGTTTTACAGGGAAATTATCAATTAAAGGGAAATATTTTTTTTGCAATAATTTTTAGAATTTTTTTTCATTGCCAACAAATAAAAAAAAAAACTACAGTGACTGGAATTGGAATTCTCACCATATAAATAATATATATATATATATAATAGAGTAAAAGAAGTAAGATATATATGATATGAATCATGTTATTGCATGTTGTCTATCCAGAAAAATGTGGTAACAGAATCCCGACCACGTCCCCTCTATGTTGACTCACATCACACTAAACACCTCGTTAGGAGACAAATGCCACAGGTCGAGAAAAAGGTCTGATGACCGTTTGCACTCCGACAGTCAAGTTAACTGTCAGACGAGAGAAATATGAATGCCAGAGAGTGAGGGGATTTTGTCTAGGGTTATAAAAAATATACCTTACTATGAAATGAATCACATATTTATAAAGGAATAAATGGGCCAAGTGGGCATGATGGGCCAAGTGATTAATGGGTCGAGCCCAAGATACAATTGTTTATTTAAAATATGCCCAATCAATGAATATTCGATATAACGTCAGTATATATAGGACCCCTCTGTCATACGCATGCCATGTAATTTATGGGTGTAACAATAGTCTCCCAAGTTTGATTTGAACATTCATCGGCAAGTCGGACTTCAAAATATAAATAGTCAATTAGGTGAAGCCTTTCAGATTGCCTCAGGAATACGAGCAGTTCCAATAAGCGAGGACTTACGAACCGCCTCGAAAATATGCATCGATCTCAAATAGGTGAGGACTTACGAATTTTCTCAAGAATATAAATTGCACCAATAAATGAGGACTCACGAACTGCTTCAGAAAATATTTGTGTGGGCCTGAATAAGCAAGGGCTTACGAATTGCCTCAAAGATGTCGCATATAATTTGTCAAGATTTCAGTAGCATCTTCTCTTTAATATGGACTAAACCAACCTTTAATACAATACAATATATCCGATGCACATATTCCATATAAATTTGGGATCCATTTGCCCCTCAACTTACACATGACGATAAAAGTGAATGATAACATATCAAATTTCTCCAAGATATAATATGCATAGAATTTGTCATGCATCATAGTAAAGCATATGTTCGCACAGCTCAGTGTATCTCTAGTGCTATAGTAAAGCAATTAACATGATGTTGATAATAAAATAAAAATGATGATAACGGTATACGTACTGTCTATAATGAAAATAGTGCCATGACTTGCTAGCAATGATGTGACATGCATACTTAGCAGCAATAATATAATGTATATGTTAACAATAATAATGTAATGATATTAAGATACTAGTATCACAATAGTCCCCGAAGTCGAATATTTATATACAGGTCGGACTTGACATATAAGCAGCTTTGTTGAAGCTAATGTCGAGACGAGATTGAATATATAAACAGCTGTGATAATATAGTGTGGAGGTTGACTCTGAATTGAATATAAACAATAGAGGCGGTGTTCTAGAAGTAAGTAGTAGAAGTGTTACTCTGGATGTGAGTAGCAGAGGCCATGCTCTGAATATATATAGCTGTGATAAGCTGATATCTTGGCATATCCATGTCAATGGCTTCCTCCATGTTGTTTGATCCAGCCACGGAAGGGATTAACTTCTAAGGTAGCAAAATGTGGCTTCTTGTGAGAGGCTTCATATTTGTCTTTGTTGAAGCTTTTTTTTTTTTTATTATTTTTTTAACTCCTTGCAAGAGGTTTACTTTTCTATGTAAGGGCTTTTTCTATGATATTTGATCCAACCATGGAAGGCTTTGCCTTCGTAGATAATAAGGTAGGCCCACCCACTCTTTACAGAGCAATAATTATCACCCTTGCGTGGTGGATGGTTCATCCATGTCAAAGGCTTCTTGCAAGGTAAATGGTGCATCCATATAGGGGATAATGTAAACTCTAAAGATAAGTAGATGTGCCATAGCTGAAGTAGAAGCAAAACTCTAACATATAGGTAGCTACAATCTAGAGGCATGATGAGCTTTCAAAATATAAATGCGGTTATAATGCAATAACTCATTTGGTGAGGCATCTCGTGAAGTGAGGAATAAATATTAAGCTGGTGACTCGTCTCAAACTATCGAAGACTTATAAGCAAGTCTTTAATGCGGTCTTATAGCTAAGCTCGACTTAGTGAAAGGTGAGGGATAATTATCTCGCGAAGTTAGGAATAAGCATTTGACGAAGCGAAGAATAAACATCATGCTAATAATTCTCGAACTATTGGAGTTTTATAAGCAGCCTCGGATAGACGATGTCTTATAGCTAAGCTGGACGATAGTAAGAAGCGAGGAATAAATATCTCGCAAAGCCAGGAATAAACATTTGGCGAGGCGGGGATTATACATCTTGTGAATAGCTCTCGAACTACTGGAATCTTATAAACGGCCTCGAAGTGACTAGGTTTTATAGCTAAGCTCAACGATAGTGAGAGGCGATAAATAAACATCTCGCGAAACCAGGAATAAGCATCTGCAAGGTGGAAAATGGACATTCTATGAATAGCTTTCGAACTATCAGACTCTTATAAGCAGCCTCGGATAGACGAGGTTTTACAGCTAAGCTCAACGATAGTGAGAGGCGGGGAATAAACATCTTGTGAAGCAAGGACTAAGCATTTGGCAAAGAATGGACATCACATGAATAGCTCTCAAACTATCGGAGTCTTATAAATGGCCTCAAATAGATGAGGTCTTATGGCTAAGCTCGATCATAGTGCGAGGTAAGGAATAAACATCTCGTGAATCTAGGAATGAGCATCTGGCAAGACGGAGAATGGGCATCCCACGAATAGCTCTCGAATTATCGGAATCTTATAAGCGGCATCAGATATATGAGGTCTTACAACTAAACTCGACAATAACATCTCACGAAGCCATGAATAAATATCTGCGCGAGGCGGAGAATAGACATCCCATGAATAGCTCTCTAACTATGGGAGTCTTATAAGCGGTCTCGGATATACGAGGTCTTACAACTAGGCTCAACGATAGTGAGAGGCGAGAAATAAACATCCTGCAAAGCCAGAAAATGCTCCTTTTGCAAGGGCAAGCATATCTGATTGGCTATAAAGTTGCTCCTTTTTCAAAGGCAAATGCTTCGAGATTTCACCTCTCTTTTTTATTCAATGAACAAGAACTCCAAGACATCGCCTCTTCCTTTATTCAAGGAATGAGGACTTATAGGATGCTGCCTCTAATTATGAAAAATCCACGAGATATGTCTCGCCTTCAAAGATGCGATTAGGCATTTGTTCAAGCACTATGTTGTGCATATTGGGTATTTACTTTCAATAGAATTTGTAAACCTCAACACTTAAAATTTTTTAATCTCAAGTAGGACAATTTGCAACAATTTGCAGCATAATTTTTTGGTGTCTACCTCATAAAGTAATTCAGCATTCTCTTCCCAAGTAGAGGTTTAATGAACCGACAACAATGAAGTACGAAGGGTGTGTTTGATGGCCCTTAATTTATGGGCGTGTTTCTAGGTGAGCAATTTTGACGAGAGATGATTTGGACGGATGATTTGGTTGCAATAAGATATAACACCATTTTAGGGATTGGGGGTTAATTTAGTTAGGTAAAGGGTGTGTTTGATTGCCCTTACTTTAAAGGCGTGTTTGTTGGAGTAACTTAAGCTACGTAAATGAATATCATGTTTGATTTGGTTATCTTTTCACATTTCTATTTTTACTTTGAAAAAAATAGTATTTATGGTTGACAAAATGTTGAATAGTATGTTCTAAATATTTTATTAAAAGGTAGGTGTGTGATAGAATTTTCACTTCAGATAATTAGAAGAAACATGGGGCCAAAAGAAGATAAATATCTGGGCCCAATTTTATATGACCCAAAGGAAAAGCCCAAAAAAAGGAGACTCACATTGGGCTGGAATCTACAAAGAGAAAACCATGCCACTGGTTTTCTTGATTTAATGGACACAATCAAATTAAATAGTGGAGGCCACGTTGGCTAATGTGGGACCACCTCCCTTACGCGTATGCCATGTAATTTATGAATATAACAACCGTCATCAATTATAAGACATGCTAATAGCCACGGATCAGATGAAGTACAAAATATTCAATAGAATAGTGGTTTCATCTGGGCACCTCAATTCAGAAAGCAATCAATTGTAATGAATTTTTTTTTAGGCCCTGTTTGTTAGCCATTTTCTTCAAAAAGCATTTTTCTCTCTCTTCTATTCAACCACAAATTCTTTATTAAAATAATATTACACGTAAATAAAAAAAATTTCCTCATTTTTTAACCACACATTTCATATCAATTTACTATTCTAAAATACATTTTTACATAAAAATGTCTATTAAACACCCCTTTAATCTTTGGTCGCAGCTTGTGGGAGTGATGCCTTAGCGTTACCAAGCCAATTTTAAAGAATGAACTGTAGTAACATTTGATCAAGAACGATCTGTCTTTTCTTGGCAACTAGAAGTGAAAAATCTTCAATGAAAACGAGGACAAAAATTTCATATCCAATAAATATACAATCAAACTTCAAAGTTGCGTGTTACATTTCGTAGACACTTTATTACACACCTTAACAGATAAAAAGAGTAGTATAATTCAATCTTTCCAAACCATTAACAAATTATTCCAAAACATCAGTACACGAACAAAAAACACAATCTTTATTTGGGGGAATTGGCAACATCTTCATTTGCACCCTCCTCATTGTCCAAAGTATCTGAAGGTTCACAAGGCGAATTTCCCACCGTTACCACACTGGTACCGTCATTATCCAGACTTCCATAGAGAGACGAAAACGATAAGTGATTGTTTGTAGAGCTCGGCTTTCTGAGGCCCTCTATAGCTCTCAATGCAGCATTGATACTTCGACTTATACCCACAGCTTCCTCCTCAAGGGAGGGGGCTGTCTCCTGTGAAATATTCGAAATATCGTTAGCAGGATCTGCGCCTGTCTTGTCCTGTTGAACAGCAGCAGATTCAATCACCTCTGCTTCAAGTGGGAAGAGGAGTTCAATATTTGCCTCACACTCAATAACTAATCTCGTGAGAGGTTCGAATGCATAGAATGGCTGACGAAGGGCAAGCTGTATAAAAGGCAGGCATAACAATCTCCCAGTTCTTTTATCATATTTCTTCAGAATCTTAATCAGACCTAAAGATATGTGCAGAAACATTTCATTAAACACTTAAAAAACCCATACCTTTTAAATTCAAGAAACTATCTTGAAGACCAAAATCCCCAAGAGAAGTATTATAAAACCTGTTAAAAACCTGCATTAGAAATAAGAAGCTATTGTACCTGCCAAATTAAGAGAGCAATAGGTTTTTAGTAGAACCATTTCCCCATGAATGGCAACGAACTCCTTGCGGATTTCCATCATCTCTTCACTAAATTCAGTCTCGGAGGTAAACACTCCATCTTCGCCGTCCCTCTCCTTCACTAAATCAATTCTTTCCTTTAGCGCCTGCAACAACAGTAGCTGAAGTGAACGAAGTGCCACATCGAAAATTCACTAGAATAATGCAGTGCGAAAACGTAATTCCACTGTTGAGATTTTACGGAATTAAATCGATGCCAAACATTTGGAGACGGATAAATCTGAGTGCATAGAAGTGCAATGCTTCCTCTATCTCAAAAAGCAGTTTGGAATGTGTTACTTATGCATAATGCGGTGCCCATAAGGGTGTCCATCCTTCTCATATGGAGGGAGACTCACTTTGGATAAATTATATTTTTATTCAGAGTGGGTCTCCCTCAATGTGAGGGGAGTGGATACTATTATAAACATTCTGATATACGCGTAGTATTGTCCAAGCAGTTTTTGGGAAAACATAGTTTTGCATAATTAAGTGACTCAATTTCTTCTAGAGATTTTGACGGCTTAGAAAAGATGTTCAATCCTTCAACGTTCATCTAATCTAGCAAGACAGCAGAAATAGTGGAGCTTTCACGATTGAAAGATACATAGGCCCACCCTTAATCAAAGTTATTGCCTTAAAGCTACAAAACTACTTTTTCTACCATCAATATCACAAAGAATCAGTTAAATTCTTCTTGCTCAATCCCCCACCCACCCACAAGCACAAATTCTGTCCTTTTCTTGAAGAGAAAGAACAAAAACTAGTCTTCTTGGATTATAACAAACCCAATAAAAATGATAAAAACTTTGCCATACATACAAACTCCCAGCTTAAAAACCCAAAAAATTTAAATTCCTTCTTAAAATCCTCAAAAGTTGAAACTAACTTAATCAAGAGCTTAACAATGAATATAGAACACTAATCAAAGGACAAATAAAAATAATCAAAGATGTCCTTGATAATCACGAGCTTTCAAGACAATTAGATAACCTTATAGAATCGATAAAACATGAATAATCCATCAAGCTTTTATGAAATTAAAACACAGAACAATGAATTGCACAATCCAAAATAAATTACAAACATGGAAAGAACCTGGAAGCGAATGATGATATCTTCCTCTGTATCGACGTAGAAATCGTTGAACTTTTTGAGTTCGTCAATGAGAATCCTGACGAACCAATCTTGAAGCGTCTGCAACGACACGATAGGTGCCGGATCATCGCCGGCCGGTATGATCTTGAGGAGCTTCTTGAGGAGATTGTAGCACAAATACTTGTCCCTCCATTCGGGTAGAGTTTCTTCTAAATACATCCTAAATTCTTTTCCGAATTTCATCCTTTATTACAAATGTCTTGCACTGATTTATTGCAATTATTGTTGTTTGGAGAAATTAATGTTTCATGATGTTTTTATAGCGACATTCTGAAACAGAGAGACAGAGAAACAAACAAAAACCTCGAAATTACAAAAGGATATTCTTGAGGGATCAGAAAGGATAAATAGAATTTATTTGGAACTAAAGCTGAATTCACAATTTCCTAGTTTTGTATTAAAAAATAAAAAAATAACAAAAAATAAAAGGGGTTGAACCTCAAGCTTGAGGGCCCTTACCGCCCCACTCCTAGAGCTTTGTGAGGGAGGTAAATCGCAGAATGTGCCCCATCAGGCCAGGGAACAAGAGCTGCATGTACACTGCGTCTACAAGAAGTCAAATTCCATATTTCAGGAATCGAACCCCCACACTGCGGCTGTCAGTAAGGCGTGAGATAACATCACTCCCGTTCTTTGCACCTCTAGATTATGTCCTGGGGGTGACTGGTTTTGTATTTTAGTTAGTACTCTTCCAAATAACGTACAAATTCTTCCAGATGTATTCAGCCAATGAATCGGTTAAAATTACTTTCAGCTAGGAAGAAACCTCGAAATTACAAAGAATATTCTTATGCTATACTTAAATTCTTCGAATAAACTAGAGATAAGGTTGAAGAAATGTTTGCACTCTAAATTTACCGAACTACCCACTGATGAATCTGGATTTGGCTTTAGCATTAGGAGTTAACAATGCATTTGTCCACTAGCAAAGTAAGGATTTGATCTGGGTCAATATTTGTTCAATATAAATTTTATGTCTGAATTATATAATTAAATATAGGTACCTTATAAAATTTAGTTCTTGTTGAAGTTACGGGAACTTCAAAGATCATATGTCAATGTACGAAGTACATTCATAATAAAAAAATAATCTACAATGAAATTATGGTATAAAATCTTATAAAGATTTTTTGAGTGTGCGTTTGACAAACTTCAACTTCTGTAAATTGATTAAACGTACTTTTTATTAAAATATTTAATAAGACAGACTATGTAATACCACTTATATTACAATCGATGACACTCGTAGTTTATTTACCTCAAAATTTTTTTGGGTAATTAGGTTTGTAATCCAACAAAAAAATTTGATAAGAAAGCCCATTATGAGCCCAATACTTTTTCTCTTGCACTTTATTTTTCGTAAATGTTGTAGCTACAAGAATTGATGGGCCTCCAAACAATAAATCCTCCAACTTTGAAACAAGTCCAATACATTACTGGGGGCCCGACCCAAGAAGTCTAGACTGTCTACATCTATAATTGGGCCCCAGTGAGGTGAGGTAGGTAAGGGACAATCATTTCAACCAACTTGGGACAATCTTTGGTCGAGAGAAACATCAGATGTACACTTCAGTCTCAAATATTTAAATCCCAATAAGGGTTTTACAATTCGTACACCGCAAGTTGGGTTTATAGCCCGCTCACAAAAGGGGTCTGATATTTTTTTATTGGATGCGGCCACCCTCTTTTATGAGGAAGCTGTATTGCCTGTATATCGAGCTGTCCAATAATTAAATTTCAGATCTCTTAATAAACGTGTGCACATCTAAAGATTAAGCAATACATACATGTCAAATAAATTTTAACAAATAGTCTATCTAGGTGTTGAAATTTCACCCACACTTGATCTCCGAGCATAAAAAATTCCAAAATATCACTTATTGAGTATTGAAGCACGTATCGTCGACCTGAAGTTCTTGAATTCGGAAACACAAATTGAACTCTATAGTCTATAGTGCTAAATAAATACCTTCAAGGGATGATGATAAAATATTTGGGTGATAAAGACGATCAGTTAGGACGAGAAAACATTACTCTTTTCACTAAATTGAAGAAAAATTGACAGCCATGTGATCTAATTATTCACCAAAGTAATTAATTGGCCCATGTGCACCGACTTTAGCAGAACAAGATAGCCTCTTCGATAAATACACTGTCGTTGATGTTGCACGACAGCCAACTTTTCACACAGCCTGGCTTCACAAATGATTCATTTAATGCAAAATCAATTTGTTAGCTAAATCATTAAGGATTGCTCCAAGCAAAATTATTTGTACAAAAGAGAAATTTGCATTATTTGTTAGCTAATAAGCAATGCTTCAAATGTGGCATGCTTGAAAATTTATCTTGACACCTTTTGCTTGACCATATTCGAGAGATGTCCTTCACGGTGATTTTAAGCTGTGATTTATAGAAATTCGATACTATACATTGTGATAGCCATAAGGGCTCAACTTTAATAGAAACCTTATTTTCACATCTTATGCATCTCACATTAAATGAGAAACTAAGATTAAGTCCCTATTTAATTTAGCTAAAAATTAGATTTTTAGTATATTTTGGAAAACAAAAATTATGAAATATGTGCTTTATTATGGAAAAGCGAGAATAGAGAACAAGAACACAAATTTTAAGTGAAAATTCAAGACGAAAAAAATCATAGACAGAGGAGGAAAAATTTGCTATATTAAAGATGATTACAAGATGTGCGACTACTCCGAATGATATAGTGTTATGAAACCATAATATACATCATATATAAGATAAAACATGACCATATCACAACAAAACCCCCCATTTTTTCCTTATAATTTAAATTTCACCATATATGTCGCACCGCAAGCTTTTCAGGCCAAATCAAACATGATTTAGGTCATAGTACATAGAATATGATTAAACTGTTTATAAAAGTTGTGAATTGTATGAAATGAGTGATTTAAATTCTTTAATTTAAATTTTTAACTAAATCGAACATGTACTGAATGTTAAAAACTCATGACGCTACGCAAAAATTAACTATGATATTCCACAAAATGAAGCTAGCATTGAATATTGTCTTCCATTGAAGCTTTATCCACATTAAATTACAAAAGGATTATTTATAGACAAATTTCAGCACTCAAAAGCGCCAATTATAATCCACCGTAGTCTGTACTATGATTGCTATTCCAATAATTCGTTATCTTCATAGTAATCAGTGCCACCGCTAGCACCATCGCCACCAGCATCAGGCTTTCCACCACCGTCGGATAAACTTTTGTTACCAGAACTACCAAGCAAAAGTTCCGTGAACTTCTCAACAAACTTAGTGGAGTTTTCTCCGGCAGACATTGGTGGTGCATAATCAGAATAGCTAAATGTAGACGAAGCACGTATCGTCGACCTGAAGTTCTTGAATTCGGAAACACAAATTGAACTCTATAGTCTATAGTGCTAAATAAATACCTTCTAGGGATGATGATAAAATATTTGGGTGATAAAGACGATCAGTTAGGACGAGAAAACATTACTCTTTTCACTAAATTGAGGAAAAATTGACAGCCATGTGACCTAATTATTCGCCAAAGTAATTAATTGGCCCATGTGCACCGACTTTAGCAGAACAAGATTGCCTCTTCGATAAATACACTGTCGTTGATGTTACACGACAGCCAACTTTTCACACAGCCTGGCTTCACAAATGATTCATTTAATGCAAAATCAATTTGTTAGCTAAAAATCATTAAGGATTTCTCTAAGCAACATTATTTGTACAAAAGAGAAATTTGCACTAGCTAATAAGCAATGCTTCAAATGTGGCATGCTTGAAAATTTATCATGACACCTTTTCCTTGACCATATTCGAGAGATGTCTTTCACAGTGATTTTAAGCTGTGATTTATAGAAATTCGATGTTTTATGTTGTGATAGCCATAAGTGCTCAACTTTAATAGAAACCTTATTTTCACATTTTATGCATCTCACATTAAATGAGAAACTAAGATTAAGTTCCTATTTAATTAAGCTAAAAATTAGATTTTTAGTATATTTTGAAAAAAAATATATATGAAATATGTGCTTTATTATGGAAAAGCGAGTATAGAGAACAAGAACACAAATTTTAAGTGAAAATTCAAGACGGAAAAAATCATAGATAGAGAAAGAGAAATTTGCTATATTTAAGATGATTACAAGAGGTGCGACTACTCCGAATGATATAGCTTTTCAGGCCAAACCAAATATAATTCAGGTCATGATACGTACTCCAATATGATTAAACTGTTTATAAAAGTTGTGAATTGTATGAAATGAGTTATTTAAATTAATAATTAACTTTAATTTAAATTTTTAACTAAATCGAAAATGTACTGAATGTTAAAAACTCATGACGCTACGCAAAAATTAACTATGATAATCCTCAAAATGAGACTAGCATTGAATATTGTCTTCCATTGAAGCTTTATCCACATTAAATTACAAAAGGATTATTTATAGACAAATTTCAGCTCTCAAAAGCGCCAATTAATCCACCATAGTCTGTGATTGCTATTCCAATAATTCGTTATCTTCATAGTAATCAGTGCCACCGCTACCACCACTACCGCCATCGCTACCAACATCAGGCTTTCCACCACTGCCGGATAAACTTTCGTTACCAGAAAACCTCTCAACAAACTTAGTGGAGTTTTCTCCGGCAGACATTGGTGGTGCATCATCAGAATAGCTATATGTAGATGGCGTAGGTTCCATCTCACCACCAAGCACCGCCATTGAAGCACCACCACCACTCTTACCAGCGGAGGTGATTAGTTCTGGTGAATTGAGGGGATTAACCTTGAAAGAATTCGAATGTAATTTTGATTGTCTAGCCAATCTTGCTTCAGCTTCTAGGCGGGCCCTCTCCCACTGAGTCATATGCGAAAATTTAGCTGCATTCTTGGACGTCTGATCGCTATCGTCAGACATGATGAAGAAATCATTTTTTGGCTTGTGAGTCACTGGATCAATCCCCAGCTTGGACAATCTTTTTTTAACATGTGTATTCCAGTAATTCTTGATTTCATTATCTGTTCTTTTAGGCAAGTGCTTAGCTATAGTCGACCACCTTAAAAGAAGACAATTTAAATACATACAAGAAAAGAACAAAAGTTGAGTGATCATTGGCCAAATAACTTACCAGTAACATGACCATAAAAACGAATAGTTTACTGCAATGAGCAAAATATTACCTATTTCCTAATAGGGCATGGAGTTGAATGATGGTTTGTTCTTCTTGTGAACTGAATTTTCCTCTTTTAATATCAGGTCTCAGATAGTTAATCCATCTCAGTCTGCAACTTTTGCCACACCTGTTAAGCCCTGCACATAATATTCCAAAACAAGTGATGTAGAAAATTGTGTGCGTGCATGAGATTATATATATATATATATACACCGATACACGTACCAGCTTTGGGGGGCAAGGCGCGCCAGCTTCCGTGGCCATGTTCTTGAATATAAGCTAAGAGTTTGTGATCTTCTTCTGGTGTCCATGGCCCTTTTCTTATACCAACCTTACCGCAGCATTGAGATCGACTCATTACTGGATTTTCAGATCAATTTCTTGATTCAAATATGTATAAGTAACAGTGATGACCTGAGTGAATGTTTGAGATATATGAAGATTGACAAATAAATTTGGCCTGTTGGACATATCCCATGATTTACTTTCCTCACAAAACTTTAAGGGCGGGACGATGGGACCTTCAAGATTGGGGTTCAACTTTTTTTTTTTTTATTATTAAATAAAAAGCTCTCTACCTAATAAAGACAAGGGTTTCTGTTGTCCTACATTTTAATTACAATAAAGTCCTCAACGTTTTGCTCAACATCTCACTTATATTTCAACTTTTGTTCCGGAATCTCATTCTTAATCTTCTACAAATTAGAACATCTTGTCTTTTATGACGATTTTTGTTCAAATATTTTATTCGTGCACTTTGAAATGAATGGCAAAATTTTTGTCAAAATTGTGTTTTCTTCTTTTGGCTTAAATGAAAATATTAGGGAAAAATAAATTTTCTAGTCCTCCTAATGGATTTTTTTTTGGGACATAATTATCATCAGATACACAATGTGCTAAAAAAAATGTTAAAGGTACGAGTGCCTTAATAAAAAAAATAATAATAATAAAAAATAAAAAACTTTTGTACATATAAATAACAAATAAACAAAGATTTGGGATGTTCATTGCAATAAAATGGAGTGCATTGTGAATTATAATTGTAATTACTGTAAATATAAATGTAGAACGAGCCGATATATGATCGCCTAACATCGGCTAGTGAGTCGCTAGCTCAACCAAACTGTGGTTCGGCTCACCCCACGAGCTTGTCCTTCGACGAGTTGAGCCTAACAAGCTCCAAGCTGCACAATCCGTTTTATACAAAAATTATATATTTTACTTATTATGAGGAGTTGACTGGCAAACTAACACGATTCGCATGAAAAAATTGCTCTTAGGCTCGCCTTTAACACCCCTATATAAATGTGATTTGTGGGAGAAAAAACACAATTGAGCCCGCAACCAAGAGGACAAATTAGTATGCCTCCGGAGTTATGAAGAGGATAAAGCATTTAGCTTAAGCCCAGTGATTCATGGAGAGGCTCCATCCTTCTGTCGACCGCCCTTCGGATGGTGGAGCATGATCTTAAATTCCCAGTTCCCACATTTAATAAATACTGCAAAAGGACATGTCGAGTATTGTCCATGTTATTTATTTTTGGCTGAAAATGTTGGTGTTATTTAAGTTAATAGTGAATGTAAATGCTAAAGAGTAATATTTATTTGTGTCACATCTACTTTCTAGTTCTTATTGGAAAATATTGTTTGTACATAGGGGAATGGAGAAGAAACAAAAAACAAATAATAAGAAGAAAAAATTGAAGAAGAAGGCTCAATCATGTGATCGTTATTCTCAAACGATATTTGCTCCATCTCAGATTGAAGTTTGATGCTCAAAAGGATTTTGGCAAATGGTTGCAGGATTTATCAAACTTTGTAAATGATTTAACACTTAAGTACTTAGTGAAATCCTCCGAAATTTGAGAACACAGATCAAGATTTGAATATAGGAGAAAATAAATTTCAATACTTTTCGGAATGTGGAATTAATCTCAAGTGTTGCTTAATGTTTTCCATTGATCAACAACCACCTATATGTAGCCATCAATCAATGATACACGAAGTGGTGCAAAGAACACTTGAAAAACCACTAGAAATCCAAAACAAAATGGTCGGTAATGACTAGAAAACCATTCTTTGCAGTCACATAGAATTGTTTTATGCGACCGCATAGATCAACTTAAAGGCCATGCAGACCGCATAGGCCTGATATTTGGCCTCCAGTTTTGATATTTTCATTCCCCATACATTTTATTGATTCTTGAACAATATTCAACAATCCCCTACTTGTTCAATATTCAATAAAATTTCATTTTCAAAATATGCAATACGCATTCATAAGGATTAGATATCTTTCGATTTGAATCTAACCATAGTGTAAGTTAAACAAAGTGTCGGAATTAAAGGTAGCATTAAGCATTGAACCAATTATTATATGTGACAATATTGGCAAGAACACACACATAAGTATCATACGTTTTCAAGTTCCTCAATCTCCCTTAGTGCTAATATAGCCTTGCGCTCATCTTTTTCGACAAACATTTAAGAGAGAAACTCTAATTCTCTATTGAGGTGACACCACCTCGAAGTTCATCTAGGTGAGGTTCTTCTAGTATCTTTGTTACTTTTAGAGCTTAAAGGTTAATCCTCATTTCAGTATCAACCAGCATTATTTGATTAGGATAGAGTTATTACGGATTTTATAATGCTGAAACTATCCACATATCGAATGACCTGTTGTTACCATTTTGAACCCTTGGATTACTTGTTAAGTAATAACAAGTAGGGTTGCCATTATTGGTGGACCTTTTATTTCAAGATTTTCAGCTGCATCCTACTCGAAGTAAATGTTACTAAATCTTTATTTAAAGGTTTAGTTAAATGATCTACTAAGTTCTCAATTGACTTAACATAATTTAGGAAAATCATTTCATCATTGATTAATTTTCTTATGTAGTCATGTCTAAAACTCATATCGAATGACTTGTTGTTATTTAGGAAAGAATTTCATAGTTGAGTGTGTTATACATGTCCCTTTTTTCGGTTTTCAGGAAATAGCACCTCCTCTAAGAGTAAACACCCAACCTAAAGTAGATTTACTTTCATTCATGCTAGATATCCAACTAGCATCGATTAATTCTTCTTATACAATCGAGAATTTAGTGTATTATAGACCTAAATTCTTGGTTTTCTTTAAATAGTTAAGAACTCTACTAATGGCCTTCCAATGATCCTTGCTCGGATTACTAGTAAATCTACTAAATTTATTAATTGCATAAGCTATTTCAGGTTTTGTGCATTAAACTGCATACATAAGACTCCTTATAGCATTTGAATACTCCAATTGAGGAACTGATCTTCCATCATTCTTTATGAATTTTAAACTTGGATTAAGAGAGGTACTAAATTCTTTTGTATTCAAATGTTTAAACTTATTTATCATATTCTAGATATAATGATTGACTTAAATGATAACACTCACTAGTTTTAGTAACTTTGATATCCAAAATAGTATTCACTTGTCCAAGATCCTTCATCTTGAATTTGGAAGAAATAAACCTCTTCAATTCTTCTATTCCATTCATATGATTACTCATCATTAACATGTTATCCACATATAAGCAAATAAATGTAACATAGTTATCACATAATTTGGAGCAGAAATATTTATCTACACTATTATACTTGAAACCAAATGAAACGATGGCTAAATCAAAATTTTCATGCGAATTTTTAGGAGCTTGCTTCAAAGTGTATAACGATTTCACTAACTTGCACATCTTATATTCATTTTTAGGTAGAGCAAACCCTTCGAGTTGTTCCATCTAAACCTCCTCATCGAGATACCCATTCAAGAATGCCGTCTTGACATCTACTTGACGAACATACAAGTCATGTATGGAAGCCAATACGAATAATATTCAAATTGATGTTATTCTAGCTTTCCGTACATAAGTATAAAAATAGTCTATTCCTTTCTTTTCTTTTCTCGATAGTTGTTGGCTATTAGTCTAGCCTTAAAGGTATTAAGAGAACCACCAACATTATATTTTCTCCTTAAAAACACTCATTTACATCCAATAGATTTGCATCTTGGTGGTAAATCAACAAGTTCTCATGTATTGTTTGACATAATTGAATCTATTTCATCTTTAAATGCATCTTTCTAAAAGACGCTATCAGAGAAGCTATAACCTCTTTACAAGTTTTGGGATTGATTTTCACTTGTAGAACAAAAGGAGTTGTTCTTACAACATTCTTCTAATTTTCCTTCTACTAAGTAAAAGAAAATAAGTTTAGAATCAATTTCATCTGGTCTTAAAGGCTTCTCAATTTAAGTTCTTTTACGTTTTCATGGCTCACTAGATTCATTAATGTCTTTAGAAGATGTTTCAACTTATGTTTTGTTGAGATGAGCTATATTTGTGCTGGAATCTATTGCGTGCCATAATTATAGGAATTCATTCTATAATTATAGGGAATTGGTTAGCTGTCCAACTCTGTATGTATAGAAATATATATTTTCCTTAGAATAGGATTGTTTTCCTAATTTTGAGATATAATTGTAACTATATATTTGCTCTAGAAGAGATGAAGATATATATCGAAAACCAAGTTTATAGACACCATTGTTTAACATTATATTAAGAGGTTCTGATCTCAATAGAATTGCTCAATCATGAATTGAATTTTTGATTATTTTGAAGCTCATATTGGAAAACTGAATGGTGAATCTCGATCATGTTGTCCCAACTATACCAAACAACACAACACCACCAATTATCACACCAAGAAAATTCTGCTTTTCCTACTAGTATCATACTGGATGAGACCAATTATCCATTATGGTCTCAACTTATGGAGATGGGTATTGGCACTCACAAAAAAGCTGGATATCTCACCGGAGAAGCAAAAAAACCAGCACCCAACGATCCTACATTTGCAACATGGATCACTGAAAATCAGAGAGTGAAAAAAGTTGGCTTATTGATTCAATGAGTCCGTTACTTATGCGGCCATTTATTTGTCTTCCCACAGCCAAGGAACTATGGGAGGTTGTGTCAAAAACTTCTATGATGGATCTGACGAAACCCATCTCTTTGAATTGAATCAAAAATCATTTTCTTCCAAACAATATGGTATACCATTGTCAACATACTACAATGAACTTATCGCTATTTTCTAGGAGATTGTTCACAGGATTACCTCTTAGGAAGGAACGGTTAAAGGAATGGTTCAATTACATTCAGCAGTGGCTGGGTTTCGAGTTCATATTTTCATAAGTGGACTTGATACTGCATTTGATCGGGTTCGTGGAGAAATCTTACGAAAAGATCCAAAACTAGATTTTGAGAGCATATATGCATATGTGAGGAATAAGTATCGACAAAGGCAGGCAATGGAAGGTTCTTGCCTAATCTCTGAACAGTCGGCTATGCTGGCCAACCAAACAAGACAAGGATCATTACCTGTCTTAATGAAGAATTGTATCAATCTATCAACTGGAAAGTCTAACAATCATGTATGTAATCATTGTGGTGAATCAGGTTATATGAAACAACGATGTTACAAAATCATTGGCTACCC